GTGACCGTTATTCCTGGTCACTCCTGGCGGTGCTCGGGGGAACAGGGACTCCCCCAATGCCTGCTGATCCCCCCTGACTAGTTTATAACAGGCCACAAGATCTCCCCTCAGCCTTCTCTTTTGAAGGCTGAACAGGTTCAGGTCCCGTAGCCTCTCCTCATAGGGCCTGCCCTGCTGTCCCTGATCATGCGAGTGGCCCTCCTTTGGACCCTCTCCATGCTGTCCACATCCCTCTTGAAGTGCGGCGCCTAGAACTGGACGCAGTACTCCAACTACGGCCTGACCAGTGCCGCATAGAGGGGGAGTTATTTTAGTAAAAGTCACAGACAGCTTGACTTTCACCAGTAGGTGATGCCATCAATTACTGCATTCAAGATACAATCTCTGTAAAATCTGTGTGAATTATTTACAGCTAAATTAATGGTTTTTGTACAAGATATGTTTATTTGGATAGTAATACAGTGCCCTTCCATTTACAAACTGTATAATTATATAATTAGCCTTTTGGGCCTAAGCGAGCCACAGTATAATATGTAATTATAAATTTGGTAAATGTAATGCCATTAGAATTAGAAAGTGTGGTAAACATAGCAAAACACTGATAACACCATGACAGACTGGCATACAGTAACCAGCACAGTATAACCAAGGGGATACTTCTGGAGGATCTTCTTTCTTCTGTTTTTTAAATTGTATCCCACAGTAATTAACCTTCTAGCTCCCATTAGCCAGGAACCTGATGTCACATTTTAGAAAAGTCTCTCACTGTAATATTTACTGAACATTTTTTCAGATTTGTAGTAGCCCTTTCCTTATGGAGCTGTATGGATCAGGACCCTAAAAGGTCACCTTGTTCTACATTCTTGTTAAATCCATGTAGCCTCATGGACTCCAAGTTCAGCTGTCTTGTTTGGCTGAGAATCTGGTCCAGTGAGTTTCGTATGTGGGTCATCCATCTGAAGCCAGTACTGTGTACACAGCACAAAACTGCTGTTTAGCTTCCTCATTATCTCAGTAAACAGAATGTAATAAATGATCACAAACCCTAAGCTACTCTTTGAAAACCTTTTGATATCACAGCTTGGGGAATCATTGGCCACTAACAGATTGTTCTGTAAAGGTCTTAATCTCTTTTTAGTCTATTTCCCCACTTCTAAAATGCAAGTAGTAAGATACTAGTTGCTCCAATGACAAGATTGTTGCATGGACAGGAAGATATTACTAATCTGAAAGTTGTTGACAACCTTTTTAGGGATGCTTTTTTCTGGGTTTGTGTTTTTTTTTTAATTTTCTGGTGGAGTTAGCCTGTATCCTGTAAACTTTCTTATTGTCCTCTGCATTCATTGCAATGACATCTACTGTGGAGGGGAGAGAAAGCTTATTAACCACAGACTCCCCTCCTGCTGACTGCAGTCAAGAGACAGCCTATGACAACACTTCCAGCAGATGTTTCTGCTTTATAGATCAATGGAAACTTTTCCGAAGATATTTCCTTGTTCTATCCAAAAAGTAAATGCCAGCAAGGCTGAGATCCAATAACTTACTGCTGGACACCAAGAATTTTATTTAGCTTATTATTTTTTTTTAAAGCTACCAGAAGTTCATCATCATAAACACTGCATTTAAGTGGCATCTTTTTCCAGAAATAAAACTACTGTCCAGTTACTGACAGCAGCCTTCCTTGTTTGTAGGCATATCAATTGTGTGCACACAGCCATGCAGACATGTGCACACAGCATACACAGACAATCAGTGCTGATCATGTGGTGTTATTTTTTGGTTATGACTCTGTATAGAATCCATGGAACCAATCTTTATTGTAGACAATGAAAGCAAAGTGTGTGAGAAAATAAAAAAAAAATGCATTTTTTTCTTTCAGTGATTCTCTTTCTTTCTAAAAGTTCTACTGACTGGTGGAAAGAACAGCTTTAATGCATCCTTTGTTACAAACAATGGGAGCACCAGGTCTGATTCTCAGGTGTGACAGTGGACTGTATATTCAGGTGTGCTAGCCGTTTTTCAACTACAGACTTGCCCTCAGAGTGACAAAGAAACAATTGCTGCCTATAAACAGGAAACAAACATTTAAATTATTTTGACACAGAAAACAAATCTGAGGTTTAAACCAATCCATGCAGAACCAAATTAAACCCTCTAGGACTTTTTCCCCCCTCTGATGCATTGTTTTTCTGTAAAGAAAATTACAGTGTAACTGGAGGATCTGCTTCATTCACACATCTGTATGTGTTATAGGTGAATCCTCAACTTCGTCACTATGACTTTCTCACAACCCCAGATTTTTGGGGGCTTGAGATTTTAAAGTATTTGAACAGCTACTTGGGAAAACAAAAATATTAAAAGGCCAGATATCCAGGCAATGCAAGTCAGCTGAGATCTATTAACTGTAATGCATCACAGGAGCTGACCTATTGAGTTGATTACATTACTTCTGATAAATTTGTGTAACAATAGGGAAACCCCTCTGTAGTGATAGAGGTTGTAGTTTGGAGATGGTCCCTTATTTAGACTACAGAAGTTGGAAATTGGGAGATGTGCCAGTTAAATTAGAGACAGACAAATGGTCTGCAGAAGTTGCCTACTACTTTACAATTAATGTTTATTGTTTAGTTCTTCTCAGTCACATATGCCTGTGTTTATTGAACCCAGTTATCACTACACCCTCCTCCCCCAGATTCCTGAAGATTTTATCCCTTATGCAAAAGGAAGCTTTTTGCTCTATCAGTATTCAGGGACTCATGCATACTTGAGACATTAGACTGAAAGGATAACTCCTCTCTAGGCTTCCACTCATCTTTGGCAACACAATTTCTTTAAATACATTTGGTCTCTGGTTGGAATGTGTTCTGCCCTTGTCCTCTGAGGGGGAGAAAAGAAACTGGAACCTAAAATTGTATGATTTAATTATGTAATAAACAACATCAATTTACTTAGGAAGCAACTATGTACAAGTTTTCCATGCCAGTTTAATATTTTTCCAGTATTTGGCTGCGAAAAATAAAAAGAGGCATTATATTCTGACTGGCTCTCATATTAACAGGAGCATCACATGCAAGTCAGAGGAAGTGATTCTTCTATCCTATTCCATAGTAATGAGGCCTCCTCACCTAGAGTGCTGTGTCCAATTTTGGGCGCCAGACTTCAAGAACTATGTAGATGTTAGAGACCAAAACAGAACTAAAAATATTTTTAGAGGTTTAGAAAATATAAAATAAGAGGAAATGTTGGGAAAACTAGTGTAATTTGTGGGCAATCAATTGTTCTTTGAGTCCACAGGGGATAAGACAAGAAGTAACAGACTTTAGGCTGACAGGTTTAGGTTGGATATTAAGAAAAACCGTCTAACTTTGAGGAAAGCAAAATACTGGAATAGATTATCCAGAGCATAGGTGCTTAACCCCCAGCCCATGGGCCAAATTCAGGCACCAGCACTGTGTCCTCAGCTGCTTCGGGCTCACCCTAAGTCTGGAAATTTGGTAGTGGGGGAGTGGTGCCAAATTTCCAGACCCATGGTGGGCCCTGGGTTCTGTGCACTAGAGCAGGTGCCTGATCTTGACATGTGGGGCCAGGAAGGGGCTGTCAGGCCCCAGGGTCCAATCTTGGAGTGTAGGGCAAGGAGGGCGTAGCACCAGTCCCTAGTGCCCAATCCTGGCAGGTCAACCAAGGCCCTGTGGGTCTCAGTGCTGGTGCATGGGGCTCAATCCAGCCCGCAGACTGGTCCTCTGCCACACACCTGGCATTCAGGGACAAAAGCTTGAGCACTACTGTTTTTCAACCTTTTTTATTTTAAGTACCCCTGGCGGCTGGACACTGAGCATGGGGGGAGGAGGGGTAGTGCGTGGCTGGATGCCGAGCCCTGATCCTGGGAGGTGGTGGTGCTCTGTCCCTGCCTGCCCATGTGTACTCCCTAGGACCAGTCCAAGAACCCTCAGGGGTACACGTACCCCTGGTTGACAACCCCTGGTCTAGAGAAATGTTGGAATCTCTTGTTTTAAGTGAAGGTTAAACAAGTAATTGTATGGAATAGATCAGACAAAGATGTTCCTGTGTTGAGTAGTGGGGTGGACAAAGTGATTTCCCAAGGTCCCTTCCAGCCCAATTTTTCTATTATTTGATTATTCTATTGTCATCCTCTTACATTTGCAGTACACATGGGCTACTGGTGCTACCTAAGTCGGGGGGACATGTGCCCCCCCCAGCAACCCAGGGGGGGGTCCCTCATGGCCAATTTCGCCAACCGAGGAGGGTCCCCTGCAGCCTATCACGTCAACCGGGAAGCAACTGCAGTGCTCCCAGAAGTGGCCACAGCACTTCATCCAGCACTCCGACTCCCTGGCTGGTGCTTGCGGGGTGGGGCACTGGCACTCCCACCTGCCCCCCCACCCATTGCCTAAGTGGGGAGTGCGGCCTGTCAGGGGGTGCACTAGTGGTCTCAGGGGTGCACGTGCATCCCTGTGCACCCCCTACACATCACCACCGGCAATACATATTCTGCTTCTCCTAGCCTATTCCTGCAAAACAATGTACTCCACTGAAGGTCTTGAAGCTTTTTCTGAACATCAGGCATTTTCTTGACTTGAATTATTTACTGCAGCATGTGCAGCTCAATGTGCTATCTTTTTTTTTGCCTCCAGTTTTGAGCTACACATACTTTTTTGCTTCAGGTCTCACTCTCTACCTTCCCCACTTT